GTGACTGATATTGCTGGCAAAGCAATAAAGAGATGACAAGGCGAGAAAAAGAACTGTCGGGATGGGAGACAAGTACAGAAAAAAATGTAAGCTTGCTTAACTTCGACAAAACTCTCATAGAACGGAGTTTGGCTGAATAATTACAAGGTAAAGATTTAAGAAAACCCAAGAAATGTATTGAAGGCATGAATCTCATACTTGCTCTAAAAAGTAACTGTAATGACGCTCTAAGAATGTCAGCATTCATAGAGCATCATTACAGTATGTGAGAGTTTATGAACGTAAAATAAAAGTATGATATAGCGTTAGTTTGTTCAAAACCGTAGACCATACCTGACATCCTGGACATAAAACCGAATCTTCTGCTTTAATCAAATCTTGCAGCTGTTCTTGTTCATTAATAATCATATCTTCTATTTCTGAAATGAGCACCCAACTTATATTTCATTAGTTTACGAAATATATACGTTTTTAAATAAAAATATGAACAATGTATACAAGTTTATCAAACTGCAATCCAGTGAATAGAAATATGAAAATAAAAAAATGCAACGTTGTTGGATGAAGTCATCTCGAAATTGTTCATATTCTTGAATTGCATCATTTAATTCACTATCAGTAATATGTTCGGATGATTTCAAACTGCAGATTTCATCTTGTATTATTTTATCGATCAGCATTTTTTCATTCAAAGATTTATGTTCATTACGTCGACGATCGAAAAATCTTTGACGACCCACTTGTAAATGTCGCAAAAATTTCTGAAAATGTAAATTTCACTGAATCAGTTTGTAAGCACAGAATGACCAGCATGCAAGTTGGAAAACATATGAATATATTCATTATCTTAATCAGAAAAAAGGAATCCAGTATTCTTCACTAATAAAGTAGAGATTCATCCATACAGTTAGCATTTCAATATTAGAGAAAAAAAATAATGCATCATTTTCTATCATTTGTGTCACTGAATATCTGAAACTAACCTGCCGTAACTCAGTTTTCCAATCTGAATTCTTTTTTTTATACAGATGTTGACGAGGTGAGACACACTGCTGCTGAAGTTGGGCAGATGAGGACGGAAGATCAGATCGACTAGACATTTTCAATATTTATCTAAACTTAAAGGTGCAGAGACAAGTAAGCCAGTGAGAAACCGTTACCACATATAATGCATACATTTGGTCAAATTTATAGAAAACTTTGGTGTAAAAAAGTGTTACATTTCAACATAAAATAACATTTTTTACTTGAGCTATTATACGTGAATTCCAATTCAAGAATTTATAAAATTATCAACATATAATGCATGAAAAAAAAAAAATTGTTTCGAATGTAATTGCGTGACACAACAACATGAAAACTATCAAAAAGTGATTAAATAATAAATATCAGAAATAACTGCGGGAAGTTGATATTATGCAATTCATATTTTGCTATAGTTTTTTAAAAACATTTCGGAAGTAGAAGTCTAAAATTTCGGGTTCCGAAATATCTAACATTTGATAAGAATTCCAAGCGAAGTGAAGAATAGTCAAGTATCCAAGTTATGAATGGAGTCAAATATTTTGTAATAACCATGGTATTAAAATTTTTAATCAATCGTTCGAGTAAAATCTGGGACAGAAATTTTAAAATCCAAAAAGAGTAACACTTTAAATATCACATATCTTTTAATTTAGATGAAAAATACACGCAAACTGGAATTCAATAACTTTTTCGCATTCTTTATGCAAAAAAGGTTAGGAAATCCAGCTTCTGAAAATTAAAATTATTAGTCAACGTCTAAGGGAATAAAGATGTAGCACGTAAGCTATTTATTTCAGTTCACACAGCAGCAGCGATAAAACTCCTAGTAAACTGCTAAAATATTTAAAAATTCATACTTAAACAAAGTTATTTATGAAATGAAGACAAATATAGTGCCACGATCATTCAATGAATGGAACACGAAAGTTTTTCCTACTTTATGATTTTGAAAATTACAAAATATCTTAATTTTTATGCGCAGCAAATTGAAAAATTTTCATATTCCTCAAATATTTAGTTCTTCAATAATTTCGTTGCTGACATAAGTGACTTCAGATGTAAGACAGACGACAACAATAAATGCTGCAAATGGAAAATATTCTTAAACTATTAATTAGTTGTGATGCGATGTGAGTCCCCGACAGATCTTTTAAAAAATGAATCCTTGAAAATTTCTTAAACAAACTAACCAATAACATATATCACATTCAATTCCCCAAAAACTGAAACTTTACATAATTCAATTCTATGAAAACAGTAGGCTGCTTCTTGCTACGATTCACAGTTCCTTCATTCTATACAAATATTGAGCTTAACTCAACACTCAGCTGCAATTGCGATTTCTTCTGAATTCACTCTCACAATGCATTTCTATTTTGTTGCATATTGACATTGTGCCTACTATCAAGAAACGGATGCTAAAATCAGTTCGTCAGCAATTACAAAAGGAACGCTGTAAATCAAGCATTGTACTGTTGTGGCATCGATTCCATCCAACATGCTATCCTCCTTTTTGACGCTGTAACCGACTTTGCTTCTCTCAGCTAAAGGAAAACAAATATTTATTCGGTTCTCAAATAGTAATAACGACATTGGACTCTTCGCAAGAATGAAACACACGTAGCCGAATGTGTTGCAAAATGAGTTTTAAGAAAGTGAAATTGCAAATTTCAAAGTTTCAGAAACTGATTTACGTAGCAAAACTTTATTTAACAGTATGACATGAATAGCTAGGATTTCACAAGAAGTATACTGCATCTTACTTTATTTCATACAGAAATTTGTTAGGCCGAATCATCAAAAGAATTCAGAATAATTACTTCACTTTCATGATGTAGAAACTGGAGAAGTGCACAAAGGAATCTTCGCCCAAGCAATTACTTACGCTGCGGAAAACCAAAGTAGCCTGTACTGATCAATTAGCAGTCGAGTAAATATATTGAAAAAAAAATATTTCAATTTGTTCTGCTCCAAATACAAAGTCATAAATTCACGACTCGACGCGTTATACCCACAACATGCATGTCTCATCTCTCATACTTCACTTTCGCATGAAAGATTTACTAATCTTTTAGTGAAATATTTGCCTTGGAAGTACAATGCATAAAAGTAGAAAGCGTTGCATACTTGCGAACGTTTGCTTGCATTTGCAGGAAGTTTGAATTGAAAAGAAATAAATTTTTCCGTTGCGAGCACTTTCTGCGAGTAAATTTAGACTTTCGTCATGAAGCAGTGATGCTTAAAGCTATAGCCGTACTTGAGAAGTGGTAATGCTAGAAGAAACGAGTTGTCTGGAAGCAGCCCGAACGAACTTTTTGGAAAGTAATCAGCACTTGCTAGTTCGATTAGCTTAGCATATTTTTGGTAAGGGAACGCAGATGGACAGAGAACTGTCTTTATTTAACAACGAAAAGTACTCATTCATTTGTGCTCAAACAATGCTTGTGAATCAAAAAGAAAATGAACAACGAATAAAGTAATCAAGTAGGAAGTTCAGTTTAAGGTGTGAAAAGCTGCTTCTTCGTATTCTTAGCTGTTTATTTGACCACCCAAATGTATTTACAATTGTCGATCTCCTTTTCTTTATTTATCTTTTTTGGCCTCTGAACTCAAAATAGGAAAGGAAATAATTGACTTTGTAAAATTTTATCAATGAATTCAATTCATGACCTCTTATCATAAATACAAATAAATTGTCCAATAAACAATGTGGAAGGCAACAAAGAAAGCGGGAAATACGATCCTTGAAGTCAAGTCGACCTAAAACTCAGATCATATAGACTACATTGTTTTCGAAGAATAAGAATGTAATTATTAAAATATCTAGAAATTTTGAGTAATTTGAAATTACTAAAAGAAATGATTTGAATGAATTAATTTTAATTAGTTTACAAAAATTTGCCAGTTATATTATTTTATTTCACATTGGAACTTAACAGTCCGACTTCTCTCAGTCGAACTAATGTTTATTTTGCCCCTAAACTATCACCATTTTGCAATCGATATAACCTTTGAACCTGCGATGGTCGTATCCTCAAGCATATAGTTGAATATTTATTAGCACTAGCGTTGACCACTACTGGATTCATACGTAATAACTTTTCTGATCTTTGTGTCAGTAATGGTATTGCTTGTTCGAAGTCTTTTTCAAGCTAAAAAATTTGCTCAGTAAGTTTTGTCTACCTGTTATTGTACATCTCAAGAAAACATTAACAGCACCTTTGCATACTCTGACCAACACTAAGGCTATTTTATTCTAGATTTTCTATTTCTCCTACAAATGCCCACAATGACGACCTGGTTCTTAAAAGTATAGTTTTTTCGTCCCACCGGGCGATTTCTTCGTATCACTGGTGAGTTTCCCGTGGACTCGTAATAACAAGTTGTTGTGACCGCAGTGCCACGTGTTTTTCCAGATTGCTTCATCAGATAACCGATTGCTGCATACTCCACTAAAGATGCGAACACTGCAATAATTGTAAAGTCATGCAATCGCTTTTTTCGCATGCAGTACGAATGCCCACTGAATACGTTCCAATTAATTTTGAAAAAACAAATGCTTCAAACAATTTAAGAAATAAAAGCAAATAGAATATCTAAGAAAGTACATTTTTGGAATTTGTTAAAATTTTATTTTTTGAATATGAATTGAACTACAGTTTCCTCGAATTTAATGATTTTTTACCCAATAAGAATAATTTCAAACATCAAACAATAAAGGTGAAAAGAATCACGTCAAAAGCTAACTTCTTAAAAAGTTACAATTTAAGAATTACTGCAAATCAATAGAACTTTATGAGGGTTTAGAAACTCAAAATACCATAATTTCGGAACTAATATTGCCTGTTCCTTCTCTTTCAAGGTGGAAATTAATGAATTATAAAAAAAAGAAATTAGAATATTTAAATTTCAATCTTATCAAATATGACCACTTCGACTTCATTTTGCACGTTGCTTACAACGTGCAAGACAATATGACACACACAACATATGAAAAGCAATCAGCGCTGATCGCACTGAAACATTTCTGTTTATTCTGAATAAAAAATTTGTTGCAGAATGAACTTCGTGGCACCAATGAAAATTAAAATTAATGAACAGAATTCAGTGTGAAATTCATAACTTAAATATATGATGCAACACAAAGGGCATCAGTTTTGAAAGGATTCAAATGGCTTGCTATTGCATACAATTGAAATATGATAGGTGCACGAAATCTCAATGGGATTTATTACATTTCTGAAGCCAAAGCACTACTTCACTGCTTTCTCACTAAAATTTGGAAATTTATTTTCTCATTTACACATTTTTCGTTTTATAATAACAATTCAAAAGCTTTGGCTAAGATATGAAGGCAATTTCTTTAGTATTTTCCAACTTTTGTCTAAGAAATGACCCTTGTTGAGAAGCAAAAAAATTGAATGAATTCGAAATGATAAATAAATTCGAAATAAATATTGAAAAATTAGTACATAATGTATGAGAAATTAGTGGCGCTAGTTATCGTTCATACTAAAAACAGTTGTGTGTACCAATCATGATTTATTTACTTACCTATGAAAAAGCAAGTACCAAGGAAAATGTCCAAGCTTTTGACGTATGATACCTGAAAAAAATAATATTTTTGATTCTGGAAATTATTTACTCTATACAACTGCAATATTTGCTTTTTTGTTTCAAGAATTTAAACACTTAATTTATGATTTTAAATATCTGTGGTTTAACATTTTTTTTAATTTTTTGAGCTTGAATATGAATAAATATATCAATCTGATACTTTTCCAGTAAACTGATTAATACCTTAGGCAATGTAGCGTTTGTTGAGGTCATCAAAGTTGTCATAGTCAGTACTGTGGTAACACCTGAAAGTTCTTTACCACTGTAGGCATGCTTAATTTATCACAAACTAATTTCAAAAAGTAATATAAATTTAAATATTCCTCCCAATTAAAGTAGATTTTATCATAAATTAATTACCAATTAATTTTTGAAATTCGTTCAAAAATTTGACTTTTACACTGATTTTTTTACTAATACTTTTTTGTGCGAGAAAACCAATGCTCTTATTTGTCTTTATTGCTTTCAATTAAAATTTTTGAATAAAATAAGCAAAATACATAAGCACCGATTGCAACTCGAGCCTGGGTGGCATCACGATTCAACCAGAACGACACCCAAGAAATGACAACAATTAGAGAGGATGGAAAGTATATCTGAATCAAGTAAAATCCGATGTTTCTTTTGAAAGTGAAGTAAGTTGACAGTCTTGAATAATTTCCTGCAGTAATTAAATTACCTCAAAGAATTGCTTCAAACTGATTTCTATTATTTTCAAAATATTCGTTGCAGCTAAAGTTTCGTTATGAATATGCAAATTTACAAAGCAAAAAATTGAAGAGGATTTTACTTCATAATTTGTACATTAGTTCTAAATAAGCTCAAATTTCCACCAAAAATTTAACTCTTTAGAACAGTGAATTTCTTCACATGTGAACATAAACGAAAAATTATAGAAATGAAGAAAACTGAATTCTTTTAGAGAAATTAAATTTGAATGATGAACCTGTGCTGAGAGAGATAACACGTTCAACGTGAGTGTGATCGCCAATAGTAAAGTGTGCCAAGTGAAAATTTTCGTCAATAGTTACTGAATCTTCACCCAAATGCCAGTGATAAATGATATCTCTAGTGCTGTAGCCATAACTCTGATATCAAGTTTTATGTGAGTTATTTTGAAAGGAAAGTGAACTTGGGAACGCACTGACAAAGAAATATTATTCCATTTTTCCACAATTCTTAGCAATTTTCATTAATGCTTTAGTGTATTTTTGCATTATTCATAATTACTGACTCTATTGGACAAATGCCATTGTGAACGAACTTGGAATAAAGTTTAAGTTAGTCTATAAATTGTTTTTATACAATTAAAATTTTAAAAAAGAGCTGTGATAAAAAAGTGATAGATGTTAGAAATCTGAAAAAAATTTGAATTTGAAAAATTTATTCACTTTTTTGTCTACCATTTATCAATTTCTTTGCATTTTCAGGAAAGACTGAATGATTTGAAAGATCAATATTTAAAATTTTTAATGCATTAGTGCAATATTTAAATTTCTTGATTAATTAAATTGTAATTAAATGAACTGGAAACTAAAGCATTCTTAAATTCAGATATAAAAAGAAGAATGATAATTAGGAATAATTTAAGCAACTTCCTGCTATTGCCAGCAATACGAAATATACTCTAGCAGTCAAGAGATCAAAAATTACTACTTTCAATGTCTTTGGACTGATTGCATAAAAATGTGATGCAGAGAAATTGCTGATATTAGCAGTCATAAGCATCAAATTTAATCCTATTTTGCATCACTAACTGCTGCTTCAGAGTATCAGTTAAATTTATGAAACCTACAGTTTAGTCACAAACATTCATTTATATATTGATAATAAGAATGCAAATCGTAATAGTGATTATATGTAATGCTTTAGAACAAAAAATCGATCCTCTCGAATATTTTCTTTTGGTAACTCACAGTCCATAACGGATCGATTTTCAAATTTGAATAATAATTATTTTTATTCACATGTGTAGTTATAAATTTTGATATAAATGACAGTGATTTCATGCAAATCAGAAGTACTCAAATAAGCCTTGTTAGAAAGTGGACTTTTTTGAGCTTTCAGTTGGGAGAGTCGGAAAATTCTGTACTGATTATTTTTCATTTCAGTGAATGTCGCAAATTCTGTGGATAGTAATGAGCTGTGAGATTAAAAAGCAGAATGGGACAGACTAATCACCTCAATTTCCAACGCACAAATTTGAACATCTAATGGAAACTGAAAAAACGTCATCTTGAACAAAATTGTTTTCACAGAATATGAAAATAAATTCAAAGAATAATTAGCTTTTAACAAGTCTGAAAAGCTCAGAAATCATTAATAGTCTATATATTGCAGAAAAAATTTCATCTGGGAGTAAATTTAGATAAGTAGGACAATTTATGACCAAAAAACTCATATTCGTTTACAAATTTACAAATTTACAAATTTTTACATACGCTTTGTAAATTCATCGGACAATTAGCGGTCACTGTAAGCCTATAATAGTAAATGATTAATAGCAGCAGAATAAAGCCCTTATGTTTTTGAATATTTAACTGATATATCCTTCAGCCTTATTTGCGTGATTTTTATCCTAATTTGCATGTTCTCGCTTCTTAGCATTTTCAAACTGTACTAATAAGTTGCTGACCCCTAAATGCTCATTTTTTACGGCTCTCAATAGATAACTCTGAACTAAAAATTATTGCAAGAAACACAAAAATTAAACCTAATACTGCGCAACACATTCCCTCTGTTATCGATTCGAAGAAACGAGTTATGAGTGGTTGCTTCGTGAAAAAATGATTTTTTTTCATTAGGGAAAAAAGTGTCTGGAACCCAAATACTCTTCACTAAGTCAACTCCAATAGTTAATTTTGTTTCATCGTTGTTCGCAAATGCTAGACGGCTATCTCGCCAGAACTGACGTAAGTATAAGTCAACTGTGTAATCCTGAAGTTTTTACTCTTATCACATTTGTAACTGTTTTCTCACTACATTCTATATCTTTACATCAATTTATTTTTTGCCTTATTTTCATTTCAAATGCTATTATTTTAAAGACCTAAAATACAGGGTTTAAGCAAGAATTTCACGTAAAAAGACTTTAAACATCACAAAATTTTTTCAGTAGAAATTAGGCACAAATAATAATACCATTGAAACTTCTGAAACAGCGCTTATTGTAGTCACATGAATGGTAACATTAACTTCAATTGGTGCCCCTTAAAATAATTTATGCAAAATCAAGCATTTTAAAAATTGATAATTTGCAGTTTGGTGATTGAATTTTCCTTCAACTCAAAAGCACTTGCAAACTATTTCTTGCATTCGAAAAGAAATTTTCTCATATTTATTTATAGTTAGTAAAATTAGAAAGATATTTTACCATTTAGTGTTTCCAAAGTAATTCAATGATTCAATAATCTTTTACTTTTCAAAATAAGAAGAATATTGGATGCATAAGTCGCTGACGTAGATCAACGAAAATTATCAAAATCAGAGTAATTCGAAAATCATTATTGAATTCAGATTCCAATTAAGTAACCAAGAAACAAGTCAAATTTCATTAAATAGACATATAATATTACTTGCTCTTCAATAGAAACCTTTCCAAAACATGTATAACAAAAAATAAATTTAGTAATGGCAGATAAAAATAGATGGCTGAAAAAAAATTCTTCAATGACTGCTTGTGAAAAATTTGGTATCATACAAATTTGCTAGCAGTAAGTTTATATCAGGTCTTTTCCACAAATATTTAATATCTTATCTATATAGATTGTATAATATGACATACCACCATAATTGGGTCTGATCCGTCGATCATGACTAGCGATCAGTTGATCCAACAGAAGGCTGACGTTTCTTTCAAGATGGCGCTGACGGTACTCTTCATCAGAGCTGATTATATCTCTTAAAAATGAATTAACGCATAAATATTGCAACTTGATCTAACATGCGTCTATAATTACTTTTATCAAACGTTATTTTGATATACCGTAATTTTTGGTGAATCTACCATGCATTAAACTATATTGTATTTTGTGACTGTAATCTATCGCATCAAATCATTATAGTATTCCCATCTTAAATAAATATTAAAATAGTTGTTGCCTAATAAATATTTAACAAATACTAATTTCATTATCTCCGGAAGATTTCAGAAAAAGATTCCGAATGATAAGCATGGAAAAAAAATAAAAAATAACATTTGTCTTGAACTTTTGTGCTCAAAAAAATAAAATATTTAAAGTTCCATTTCTTTGAATGTTTAAATTCTAACCCCAAATGACTTCGTTAACTTTTTATGTCAAAAGATTTTTCAGCGATAATAAGACAAAATAATAAATAGTGGGTTTTGAGATTATGAGCAAAAATTTCATTGCATAACAAAAGTTTGATAAAATATCTGACAAATAAACTTACGAATTGTATATCTCATCATATTCAATATATGATTCTGTTGTCAGTTCCTAAAATTTAAAAGCTATTTTCGAGGTAATAATTTTCATGCTTCGGCGTTTACAATGACTCAGCAAGCTAAAAACTTAAGTAATAATGATCTATTTTTGGTATTTCTTGGTGTTTACTGTAACTTATCAATATTTCCAGCATTTGGATGATAAGTATTCCATTCAGAGATAGTTTGAACTTAAAATTTGACATTTTTTTTAACGAAACTAATTAACCTAATATTGAAAACTAATATATTGGTTTGAGCTACAAAAAGTGTTGAAAGCCTTATGGATTAGTGTAAAAAAATTGAAGTATTGTTTATGCTTGTCCTCAGGAAATCAAAACCTACGATAACAGAACTTTCTCGTGGCAAAATTAATAGATATATAACTAAAGCATACCTTATTACGCATTCCGTATGCCCTTGTAGAGCTGAATAGCATAGATATTGCTATGAATACGAATACGATCAGAAGGAATGTCTGATAATTCATTATAATTGTTTATTAATTACACTTAGAAAATGCAATATTGCGTTCTGTTTTAGATGCTTCTTTTGACATATTTACTGCAATTGGATGGCGAGTATTTGACTTGGCAAGATCAAATCCTTCGTAAAATTGAAGCATCCGAGATTACTTCGTGTACATCACTTGTTCAGATGTCAAATCATTAATTGCTCATTTACTTACTGCATAAACATTCTCTATAACTAGTAAATAAATCAAATATTGTATTAAAATCATTCAAATGATGAAAATTACCAAAAATTGTTCAAAAATTACATTTTTTTCATGTGAATGGTTCCATATACACTTGATAAATCTAAATTACGCAGAACAGCTTCAAGATTATGATAGTAACAGAAGTAGTTTTTACTGTTTATGAATAATTGTAGTAATACTGACAACGATCAAAATATTGCTCACATTATATTGTTATTATCGGTAGTGATGATGATATTAATAGTTGCTAAATAACAATAGTTTCAATATACATCAAAAATAATAGAGAAGTGATATTAAAAAAATATAGCCTTTGAGAATTAGCATTAGTAAACTAACGATGACAAAATCATTCCAGTACTGAAATAACATCAATAAATTTAAATTAGTTGAAGTCCAAACCGTTTAATTCTAGAAAAGATCATAGAAGAGTGAAGATTATTTGTTATAAAAAAAGGCTTGCACTTACTGGCCTAAAAGCCATCACAGCTACTGATGGTCAAGGTTATCCGTCCTTCGATGCATTATCCAAAACTTACTTTGATTCTGAACACAATCACAGTTACCAGGAAATAATGTATACACATACATAACATACTGCGATTTCATATTTCTATATAAATGTACTGAAATAAAACAATTTTGAAATTGCATATAAAAATGAAATGCATCAATTTTTTTTTGAAAAATGAATTCCTTAAACTTTTGAATAAAAGTATTTGACGTAATGATACTTTTGTCACAAAGAGACGTTTTTAATTTCGCTGGATGACCATCTATAGGAATTATGCTCATTTTACTTTTGATCTAATAATTTTATGTTACACACTCAATTTTAAGTTTCAAACAGTTTTTGAAGTATAAATGGATATTTTAGGATGAAATTTTTAACAACTGCAAACGTGTAAAGCAATCGAATTTTAATTTCAATTTCTTCCCACCACTCAAAATTAATAAATTTTAAATTTAGGCATATAAATGTCAGTAATTCGACCAGCAATTGACGAAAAATATAGATGGACTGAATGAAAGCATGTGTTACGAATCTACAAGCGTAATCATAAACTTTATTTTTGTAAAAGATTTGTGATGGAAAACGAGTGTGACAGCGTGCACAACCGAAAAGAATGCTCGCGACGAAAGAAACGAAAATGCAAGAAAGGTTTTATTCCTAATATTTCATCCTCAAATGCCTTTTTAATACGATGAGCAAATGTTTACTTGTACATTTCAATGAAATTATTTGTATGGCAAAGTCAAATAATTATTGAATTTCATGGAGATTGACATAGCCTTTTTTATTAAAGCAAAAATTTATTCTCAAGTTGCTAGAATCCAGCAGTTTAGAGGTTAATCTTCTTTTCTGTTTCTTAATTCTCGCGTTGGACCATTTTGCAGCTTTCGTGACCTGCTCATCTGGCACGCAAATCAGCTGGTCGGGTGCTTGTACATATCCTTCTCAAAGCTTTTCCCCACAACCTTATCGCTTTTCCATTTGTTTCCAATTGTGATTGTAGGGTCGGTTTTTTTCCGCTTATCCTCCATTTCCTGCTTTGTGATACAATTCAACCAGCCAGCAACTTATCACTTGGCAACACGGCGAAGCCATATAAATAGTGATATATATGATTCAATGTAAATTATTATTGTTTGCAAGTTAACAAACTTTGTTGAGAATTAAAATCAAAAAAAATATTTCCTTTCTTTTTGAAACATTTGGCGTTGAATAACTGCGTAAATACACAAAAAGAGCTAATTAAGTAATAGAGGTTAACACGTTTCACTTTTTATCATACTTTTGATTGTAATTAAATTAGATGTCATAAAGTAACATTTCAGTCATTTTACTATTTGAATTTAGTTGAATAACTTAAATTCTTCAGTTATTGAAAGAAATGCAAATGTGTCATACTGAAAAAAGCTAACGTATGGTTTCATGGTTTGCATTTATTCACGTGTTTGCAAGTTTTAGAAGGGTTGAAGATGACAGAAAATATTTACAATTCTAAAATAAGAATAAAAAATGCTGCAATAAAAATAGCAATCAGATAGAAGTCCATAAGATATGCGATTAGCTTCATTTTAGCAAGTCGTTATTTTGAGTCATTAGAAAAATAAAAAGATAAAAAATATTTATTCATGCCTATATCTCATCACAAGAAGATCAAGCAGGTTTGAATAGCTCTCCATGTTACTCAAAGGCCACGTAACGTAATTTGCCTCAAAATGTGAAGAGAGTATAATTAAGCTCCAAGTCTATACAAGTTATCAAGAAAGTACGAAATTATTGTTGCAAAAATATTTTCCAAAATAAGAATTCAAAGACTTTTTCAAAAGGAATGCTCAAAAAAAAGTCATTCAAAAAAGTTAAATATGAATTTTTATACAAATCTGAGTAAGTACATATTCTTAAATGTTTTTTATTGTATAGATTTAGGAGAAGCTTTAACGTGTTTCATGAACAAAAAAATTTGGAAGAAACTTTGCAGAAAAAAAAGAAACTTGCGTTTGTCTATTACTGATCAGACGAAATTCGAATTCAACCTCATATTTTGTAAGTCTTTTTAACCAATAGACTCACAAAATCGAACATCAAAATTTAATTTAGAATTATTAAATTATACGGATAATACGTGATTATACTACGATTAAGTGATATGTTTCATAAAAGAATACGAAAAAATGAAGTTAAAAAAATAGTATTGAAGCAAAGAATTTATTGTACATTAGCAACAAGAATTGTTGTATGACAAATTAATTTATTTTCAGCATAAATTCGTTATTAATTTTTTGAGTGCTGAAAGCTTCCTTTAAAATTCCTCTGAAAGTCCAATTCACATATTGGTTGAACCAAAAAACTAATATTTCTAGGGATTAAAGCCTTCTGCCAAAAATGAACTTCTTGCCTAAATTATGATTTCTATTAGTGTAAAAATAATTTAAGCAGCTATGGAAATTATTTTTTGAAAAACCATGAGACCGTTCTAGAAAAAGCATTTTTTTCAAAAATATTATTAATTAAGTAATTGAAACGAAGTGGGGCTGCACAAATGCAAGCGATGATACAAATTTTAACAGTTCTATTAGAATATATATATAGGAACTGCAGTACTCAAATTCATTATCCGATCATAAAATTGCAGTGATCTGATAATGAATTTGAAAGAAAATTCCAAAATGAAGGCATTACTTTCTTATATATATATATATAT